GATAACTGTTCAGTTATATTCTCAGCTGTGGATGTGGCCACAGTATCCTGGATACTAGTCTATGTGAACTAGTGCAAGGCTATTACTTGTCATGGTAGATGTGGTACTGCTTCTGAAATCACCTCAAGTTTCACTCAAAGTAGGGTCATAGACCTTCTTTTCTATTACAGTACTACTATTTTCTTCTAACAAGAGAAATTGGCAGGGGCGTTGGAGGAGAGAAAGATTTTAAAATTTCTATCTTCTACCCAAAATAACAATATGAACAACATTTCAATCCAGTAGTTTAATTTTTTTCCCCATACTACGCCCCTACTACCCTCATTCCTGACTCTAATTGCTATGAGTTACATGATATAAACTGAATAATGTTCTGTCTCATTAATATACATAAGTTACAAGGTTTAGAAAAGCCCTAACATTACCTTTCTTTAAACATGCTTTCTGCATTCTAGTTGCTATGATGACATAATGTAGATCTTCAGTATGGTGTTTTACATCATGTTTAGAACTTCATTAGTTACTATAACTACAAAATATTGTTTAAACAACTTCTGTTAAAAAAAATGTGGTTACCTTCTCGCTATTAATGAGGCAGGATTTTCTCTCCTCTGAGGCATGCATTATGACTAGGGAAACATTCACATAATTTTGTACATTGAAGGCTGACTCTTCTTTTGTTTTCTGGTGGATTCCCATTAGAAATCTAGGTAACACTTTCCCAATCGTTATTCACAAACACTACTTTCGTATAGCCAGGGCATTTCACTGATACATCATCAATAACAGTGATCACTAAACCTCAGTGTTGATTTACTGCCTAGAAGACCCTCCAGTGGTTTTGATGTTATATAGTCTTGAATAAATACTGCTTGTGATTTTGTACTTGGTGTGTTTGGATAGTTTAGTACGATTGGTCTCTCCATATATTTTATATCATTTACCAGATCTTGCACAGAACAATGCCTAGCTTGTCTGTTCCCTAGACCCAGTCACTCACAGTCTCTCCAGTCAATAGCCACACAACAGCATTATAAGAAAACAAAGGTAGCAGAGGTGGCCTTGGTAATCTCCAAAGGCTGACAGCATACAGTCAGCTGCAGACTCCCTCATTCTGAAAGATAGAGTGGTTTTCACCCTAACTGTGGTAAAATTTCCAATATAGGAGATGTCCCATTATAGCCCATGGATTAATACAGGCTTTTAATATTGACCAGGATCCAGATAGCAAATTGTATTTTATATGGGGAACTTTTTGTTCAGACGATGGGTTTTAATCCATCAGACTTAAAACAAAAATAGTCTTTATCCTAATTTGTTTTAGACATTTTGCTTGATAGGATAAAGTTTGCATACGTAAAAGAAAATTATTGAAGAGTGTTCTTGAAGGTGGATTGCTACATTTTCATTAAGAATTCTGAATTTTATTATCCTATTTAAACCTTTTTTGTGAGAAGATTATTAGTTTTTTGGCAGAAACCAAGAGCAGACTGTACATATCAGGGTGGGGGAAGAGGAAGGAATTTCTTGGGTTCCAGCTACATTCTTGTCCTATTTATGTCAATTTTGATTTTTCTCTCTTGTGTTATGCTGGTGGCAGTTACATAGTAAAATAATGGCAGTTAGATTTTTGGACACCTTATTTACAAGAACAGCAGAACCACAGTATAACTAAAAGATAAACTTTTAATGCAGAAAGCCATCCATTTTCCTTTGGAATAGTATGTAAAGTATTTCACACCATGTCTCGAAACATGGGAAGAATCTGATATTGTCTGCTGGATTTAATTCAGAAATCTGAAGTTCTATAACTAAAGTGTTTTGTTTTATCCTTCCTTTTTCATGTTTCAGTGATGATGTGTTTTGCTAGAAACAAATTTAAAAGGTTACACACAAAAATTAACCTGATAGTTAAAATCTCATTAGAACTATATTCACATAAAATGATTCATACCATAATGGTGATATATTTGAAACATCTAGAGAGACTTACTCCTTAATACAAATGCAAAAGATCAAATTAACCAGAACCATCTTCTCTTTCAACCCTTGTGCTGTAATGCAAAATCCTGTTTCTTACAGAAATTTACGTTAAGAAACTCCCCCTACTGCGTTCTCTTTTTAAATCTAGAGTCATTCTATTATGCTTGGCTACCCCTGTACAACCCTGATGAAGTCAATAGGTTTTGATGTAACAGAGCAGAAATTAGGGTTCAAAGCCTTGTTTAGCATAGTCAATTCACTTTTTATAGTATATATTCAATAGGACTCTACATATCTGCACAGCATACAACATTGTGTAAATTGTTTTCTAACACCTATGCATACCAATCAAAAAAATGCCATGCTAACATGCATGTGTATATAGCTTAGCCACCTTCCTTGCTTGTGAGAAAATGTGTATGTTAATTACTAAGAGGATTTTAATGTCCTGTGGTTGTGAATAAATTATAGTAACTGCGAGTGGAAACCCTATTGGCATAATTTAGCATTTGACCCTCTAATAAAATTCCCCATAAAGGAAAGAGACTGCATTTTTATAGCTTGCCTGTGACACTGCATTTCTTTTGCAGGTTTTATGACAGACATCTGTTAGCATGGTCTTCGGGGCCCAAGACTGATAAAGATCTGGCCTACTGGAGAAGAAGAGGACAAGACTTTAGCGTATTACTGGGTTACACTGACAAAGGAGACTCTGAAATGAGAGGATTGGCACCACCCCATGAGGTGTACAGACATGCTAAAGAAAGTCAGCTGGAGGTAGGAGCAGGAACAGAGAGTGTGACAAGAAGTGGCTTGCAGGAGACCTGGAAAGTGCCTGGTGATTACAAATGGCAAAGTTTAAGAACAGAAAGCTGGAAACAACCTAAAAAATTAGGAAGACAAATGTCTGATGGTGATAGAGAGAAACTGCTTCAAGATCTGTACTCATTGAGCCTGGGAGACAGTGTACTTAGCTCCCATAACAAAGGGAAATCACAATCATTGCCAAGAGTTCTTTCACCAGAGACCCTGAAGTGTGTGGAAATACCCTCCCTGGTGAATAATCATCATTTCCTAAGTGGAACTAAAGCATCCTCTGGTCCCCAAAACAGACAGCCTTTAGAATTCACAAAACCCAGGGAAACAGGAAGCCACCTTCTTCCTCTGGCCAAGCCCAAGTATGGCAGACCCCTTAAACCTCCTTCCTATGAACTGCACCGACAGATGAGGGCACCTGTAGAAACCAGTGGCTTTCAGGACCACCAGCAAATAGATGAGCCCGTTTCATATTTAGCCAAAGGTAATGAGCCGAAGCAAGACGCTTACATTCCAGACTCTGGTTTAGAGCCCCCTGTCTATATACCACCTCCATCTTACAAGTCCCCACCTCAGCCAAGTGTGAATCAGCATTCCCTCAATGAAGTGCCTAACTATGACTTGTGCTTTGACAATGGTCAGCGGCATTCAGTAGAGAGGACCCTCAGCAGCCATCGACCCTCCACTAGCACATTGGAAACTGGGGGTGAACACTGCAAAGATGACCACCTTCCTCATGAAAAACAAAGCCATTCCAGGCACACTGATGACTACCTGAATTCCATTCAGTATATTCCTTTTGATGATCCTCGAATACGGCATATTAAAATAGCACATCCCGAGAGCCTCCAGAACAACACTAAACACACTGAAAATACATGTAGGACCAATCCTACTGCTTTGCAGGAGAGAACTATCGAACTACAATACAATAGTGCCTTTTTGGATCCATCAAACTTACTAAATACTGTAAAGGGTGAGAGAACTCCTGACAGCACCACGCATTGCAACAGGTGGTTGGCAGCATCCAACGGACATCAGGAAAACTGGGCCCTGCCTGACCAAAGAGACAGTGGTGACACAGATAATCACCCCCCTGAAAATGAAACTAATCAGGAGTACACAAAGGGCAACCTTTCTGTAAGAAACCCACATATGGATAGCACCTGTGAGACTGTTACTAGAGTAAAAAAGTTTGAACCTGGAACTGGGATGCAGAGCAAAAAGAGTTCAAAGAAAAAAATGAATGAAACTATATTTTGTTTGGTGTCCATCCCAGTTAAATCTGAATCAGGTCTGCCAGATACTGATAGGAACAATAACTTAACACAGAGCCCTGATAAGAAGAATGAATTTGATAACAGTGGAGCTTTGCAAGAACAAAGTCTTTTAAGTATGTCTTCCACCGACTTGGAGTTACAAGCTCTCACAGGAAGCATGACCAATAAAACTGAGTTACAAAAACAAGAGCTATGGAAACCAGAGGAGTTCAAACAAATGAATGACCTCAGATTTACTCAGCCTACAAAACACAGGGAACTCAAATACTCTGGCTCTTGGCCAGGTGATCAGTACAAAGACCAGCAAACACAGACCTGTTTCACTGAAGACCCTAAAAGCTCACAATTTTTCCATGGTATAAAACCTGGTGAACCAAATAATAAACTGATGGCTCCAAAATTCTTAGCCTGTACAGCATCTTTGGTTGGGTCAGAAGAGGCAGGTTTATCCCCCGATGACAGAAAATGTAGGCAGAATACATACAATATGAAAGGTCAGATGAACCTCAATCCATCCAGCAATAGTGCATTTTCAAGGACTGCCACCTCCGTAATTCAGGTACATTCACCAAAGGCATACCAGAGCCAGCCTTATGGGTCCTGCACAGCCATGCCCACCCAGGAAAGGGAAACTGGCACAATTCCCAGGGGTGATGTGGTCAAGGGTGAAGCAAGTGCTCCCTGCAAGAGTAAAGAACTATTTGGTCAGTTTCTTTTGAAACCTGTTGGTCGCCGTCCCTGGGATGCAATAAGTGAGTTAGAAAGTTTTAACAAAGAGCTCCAAGAACAGGAAGAAAGCACTAGTAGTGAAGATGGCATGGAGAGTGTGGGAGCAAAGCAGGGCTGTGTTCCTACAAAGATAGGGACCTCCAGAACTGATGAATCAACCCAGGAACTCAGGCCTTGTAAGCAGCTAAAAACTGTGGTACCAGAAGTTCCTATATTTAAACAAGGAAGAGTTAAAAGTAAGTCTGAAAGTTGGAGTACAGAGCTTAAGTCTGATGATCCACATATCTGTGTTGGATCACAAAGCTCCTTGAATGCAAAAGAGCGCGGTAGTTTAATCAAGCCAGCAGATGGAAGTGTGATAACAGAAACAAGAAACCAGGAAGCCAAGAACAGAACAAACAAACAGCGAGCAAGTTCAGGCCCAGTCAATAGAGTTTTGTCCAGTAGTCCAAGTAATGCAAATCAGAGTAATCCATTCAGTCATGCAGACTTAAAGGAGACAAAAGAAGATAGAAATTACATAGCTAATATGTTAGATTTTGTAAAACAGAACAAAAGCGCAACTCCCAGGAGTGATACACTTTTAGAGAGAGGATCTATAGTAAGATTGTCTTTAACTAATAGAAATCAAGGTCATTCTGAGCCAGATTTGAGGTCTGTGGGACTGGATATTGACCCTGAACCAGGTGCTAACAACTCTGATTTTTCTTCTAATGCAAATGCAATGGGGATCCCCCAAAATGAGTCCCTGCAGGCAAGAGCTGCAAGGATTCTGGGTATAGAGGTAGCAGTGGAGTCTCTAATTCCTGGGGACAGAACTGGCCTCCACCAATACACCAGCCCTGCAAATAGTGTCCAGGATCCTGAATTACCAGTAGGGGGAACAGTACGTGACAAAGTAGAAACAAAAGACAGCTCTTATGAGGGCAGACGAAAGTGTGGCTGGACAGAAAGTTCTCTCTTTGTGGGCGAGAGAGACTTCCCATTTTGGGCTGGTGAATACCAGAGCACTGACCTAGAAGCCAGCTCTAAAACTCTGGTAACTGAGCGAGGTTTTGAACAGCATGCGGGTCTCAACAGGCAAGATGAGGATCCAGACCTGCCTTGCAAGTCTGTTACGCATCAAATTGCTGAAAGAAACGTGATCATTCCAAGCTCGGAAAAGAGAGTTAGAAGCACCTCAAAGGTGATTGAGACCTTACAAGGCAAACTTGCCTCTCCCCCTAGCCGAACAGTCATGGATCGTTTGGTGAGAATGAAAGAGGTTGACTCAGTTTCCCGTATGCGACGTCTGAGTATCAAGAGTGCAGATTCAGGGGAGGAAGTAGATGAGGAGAAACCACCAAGGGTACAAGAGGAGAGAGGAAGCTATGCGCCACTCAGCGGTAATGAACTCTCTCGCAAAATGGTGCACACAGGTGCTGTTTCCAAGCGCATTATCTCTCTCGATGAAAATGGACATATAACTACAATAGGCAAGAAGAAGGCTGACCGAGATTTTTGTTTAGGTAAGGCCCAGTTTTACCATTATCTGTGATTCAGTTGGGCTCTGTTTTAACAGGGAATGTACATCTACTCCCCCTGTGGTATCCTCAAAAGAAATAATCTTCCTGTTTACCTCCTGCCATATACTACAGCTGCTAGTATAGTAATTTAATAAGCTATAAACAGATTAGTTGTTAATAAAGAATTGTAGTTTTCTTGCAGTGAGCATTATCCTCTAAGTTATTGCAGCCACTTGGGTTCTGATTACTGAAGTTAATTCATAAAGTTGTAGGACTTTCCCCATTACCTAACTGTTTCAGAAGACTGAATATGTCAAAAATAAAGAGAAATATCACAATACCTGCCCTGGTTTTGCACTCATACATTATGATCCCACCCTTTCCATGAATATCCAGGTTTTCATTCTCAGTCAATTCTAGTCCTATTCTATAGTCAATAGATAGGAACACACACATCAGGACTGAGAAGAAATAAAAAACAGACTTATAAACCTGCTATATTCTAATCTGAAGCCACAGGGAAAGGGTTAAATGTTCAGGGTAGAAATTCGAGATAATATTCATGAGACATTATACAAAATGTTTCAGATAACTGATATCCCCAGAGAAAACATGAGGCTGAATCTTTCAGCATATGCTTTGGAGTCCTCTGCTCCTTGGGTCAAGGGTAGTCTTGTCTGCTTCTTAAGTAACTCCAAGTTAACTTATGAATTGATCAACTCTCACATATGGTCTTTTGAACATAGTGAGGTGCTAATTAAATTAATGGGTACCCTTGAGAAGTGTAGCAATAGCTCTATATAAAGTCAGGCATGCCACCTGTTCAGAGACTTTAAATTGGTTGGAAAGAATAAATGCATGGTACTTGGTAGGCAGGTTGATAACCCAATACCTAATGTTTCTTTTGTTTTCCCCACTTCCTCTCTAATAGCTGAAAACCCACCTTGAAATTCACAAACACTTCTTATTTAACCCAGTCAGTATAAATCTATGTAAAATTCTCCAGTGTAGGGAGATGGAGATTAACTTAACCGTACTTTAAAGGGATTTTATTTGTTCCCACCCCAGACCCAGGAGTGAACTGCATGAATTCTAAGTAGGGTGACCAGACAGCAAGTGTGAAAAATCGGGACAGGGGGTGTGGAGTAATAGGAGCCTATATAAGAAAAAGACCCAAAAATCACGACTGTCCCTATAAAATCGGGACATCTGGTCACCCTAATTCTAGGTAAGCATCAGAATCCCCCCCACCCCCAGCTCCTACCGTTCAGGCCTTAGTCTTTGTTTCATTTCATGCCCCCTCCATCTCAGATTCTCCTTCCCCATTGAACTATACTGTACACTCCAAACTCACGGTGTAGGCAAATTCAACTTCCCTGCACTAGCCAGGCCTGCTGTGCCTCATAGTGGTTTCCTGTATCTTCCTCCCTTGAGATTTTCTGCTGGGCAGGAGAACAGCAGTTGAGCCTCCCTAGGAGCCCTTCTAGTGTACACTGCTACAGGGATGTATCAATTCAGACGTGATTTATTGATTTATTTATATTACTATAATGCCTCAGAGCCCCAGTGGTTTCCCAGGACCCCATTGTGCTAGGCACTGTCCAATCATAGAACAAAAAAACCAAGCCCCTGTCCCAAAGAGCTTACAATCTAAGTGCCCTGGTTTATGCCAGAGTAAATCAGAGCTGAATTGACCCCTATTGCTGAATTGTACAGTTTGTTCCCATCTAGGTACAGCCTTCCTTGGTGGGGACAATGCCACCTCAGAGCACAGAGAGGAATTTTGCTCCTTTGCAGCTGTAACAACATTTCCCACAACTGGATAGAATTTGATCTTCATTTCCTCTTAATCAAGTCTTATACTACAGGGCATAGTGCTCAGGGGTTGGGAAGGAATCGCCTCCACCAGCATCCTCCCATCCTCAAAACACTAACTTGTTCACGCCCAAATATGGAGACAAGTGACACTGAAAAATCTCAAGTCTTGGCCTCTGAGGTGTAGTCTGGAGTATAAAACTAAGTTTTGTAGAGGCTTCACGCTTTGCCTTCTCTACTATTCCACACCACCCAAGTCCCATGATGGCTTACAGTACAACCTCAGAGTTACAAACACCTCGGGAATGAAGGTTGTACCCAACTCTGAACAAAATGTTCTGGTTGTTCGTTCAAAAGTTTACAACTGAACATTGACTTAATACAGCTTTGAAACATTACTATGCAGAAGAAAAATGCTGCTTTTAACCATCTTAATTTAAATGAAACAAGCACGGAAACAGTTTCCTTATCTTGTCAAACCTTTTTAACTTCCTTTTTTTTTTTTTTTTTTTGTTCTCTGTTGCTGCCTAATTGTGTACTTCCGGTTCCAAATGAGGGGTGTGGCTCACCGCTCAGTTCCTAACTCTGAGGTTCTACTGTATGTCTAGTAAGAGGGTAGACTGGAATGGGGAGGTGGTGTAAGGACTCACTAAGTATCCAGTAGAGTTTTATAGAAAAGAGCCAAAGTGCCATGCAGCGTGGACTGGAAAAGACTGATGTCTATCATAGTTTCAGACCAGGTCAATCACAGAGGCTAGAGGAGTCACCAAACAGAGATTCTCATCCAAAGCCTTGTTTTGCTATTTTTATACAATAACTTGTCAAACGCACCAGTTATTTTTAAATGAGGGAGTTGGAGTTAAAATGAAACACTGTACAAGAGACAACCCCTTATTATGCAAATTATCATTGTAAGAGACCACCCTAATGTCTTCCCAAACACACGAGTCCATTTCTGCTCCATCATTATTAAAGATCACTTCTTAAGCTGCTGATTTTGGTTTTTGGAGTGCATACTTAAGCCAGGTTTCACTGTATTTTGAATGAATGGGAATAAACCAATGCCGTTGTCTTTCAAAGGACACTGTAAAAGTATTTCACACAATTCAAAAAAAAAAAACCAATTCCTCCCAACTGTTTATAATAATTATCTTGGAACCTTGAAATGGAAATCTTTTACCTTTCCAAGCTTTTATTCCATTGTCCAGTGTGCACCCATATCCCCGCCTTTCCATCCCTCCCAGCCCCCACCCCCACACAGT